TAAATAAATAAATAAAGTTATAAATAAATAAATAAATAAATCTCCTGGAAGAGAAAGTAGGAGGAACTCTTGAAGACAGGGATAGGCAAAGAGTTCATGAACAAAAATCAAGGGGCTGGAGAGACGGTTCAGTGGAATAAGCGCTTCCCTGCCAAGCGCAAGGACCTGAGTTCAATCCTTGGTTCCGCAAAAAAAAAAAAAAAAAAAAAAATCAAATCACACAGGTAATACTTGAAAGAATTAACAACTGGGACCACCTCTTATTGAGAAGTTTTTGCACATCAAAAGAAATTACCAACAAAGTGGAAAGACAGCCCACAAATTGGGAAAAAAATCTTAATAAGCACTCAGACAAAGGTCTGCTCTCTAGAATTTATAAAGAACCAGAAAGAAATTAGGGCCCCAAAATTTAACGACCCAATCCAGAAATGGGCATCCAAGATGAACACACACTTCTCAGAGGATGAAATTAAAGAAGTGAATAAATATATGAACAAATGTTCTTTTTTAAAATTATTTATTTATTTATTTTTAACTTTTTAAAGTTTCTAATACTAGAAGATATCATACAATGTCTTTTAAATAAATTGTACATCAAAGATACAGTATAAATCTTAGAACAAAAATTAAGAATAAGCAATATTCAGGAAATTAAACATTTCAAAACAATTGAAATAACAAAAAGTTTTCATGACAGCAAAGAAGTAGTAAGAGTAAAACATAAGATAAATACTGGAATGGCAAGTAAATGACCAGCACTTCTAATAGTTTGAGGATAGGATATCGCACAAACTTCTAGTGTGTTATGGACATGCATAATGACTGTGACAGTTACTGGTGGCTAGGTGTCACTTGTGGAACTGAGCTACAGCTATTTCTTTGAAATCCACCCTATAGACTCTGGTGGAATCATGACCAATAGGGTGGAAGAGAAGTCCATTTGTCGAGTGTGCTGATGAAAATATTCTGCTGCTGAACACAAAAGAATAATTGAAGGACTTCTATTGTATACCTCTTATTCTCCTCTGTTTAATTGTTTGCCCTATTTGGCAGGTTCTTTCCATTCTCATTCATGGGGCTGTGATCAATTTGCTCCCTCTCTAGAACATCATTTAGTAGTCTGTGTAGG